ATGAAAAAGCAATTCCATGCCTATGATGAGGTTCAGGGAATTCCTCAGCTATTCCAGAAAGATACTCCAGGTTAGTGCGGATCATTCCTCAATTTTTCCATGAACTCATATATATAAGCTAAAATCTTACAGTTATATAAAAATACACTTAATTATATATTACACTTAAAATCTTTTCACTGTCCAGTGAACGTGAAAAATATTACCAGATCTGCAAAATTACCAATAATTAAATCGAGACAGATGCAAAAAAAATGAAAAGATTTATTTTAAGTTTGCAATCTAGAGAAATTGTTAGTTTCCCGTTGTTTAGTTCAACGTTTAATTTATTCTCATACCCTTGATGCATTTGTTCTGAAGACCAACTTTAGGTATGAACGATTTATATCACTAAAGTTGACTCCTTCACATGCAATAAAATTTTCATTTCATCAGTAAAGTTGTTGATCTACTTCCGAAGACGTCCAGACTCAATATAGATGGTGACATATCAAAACGAATTTAAAACTGCTCTTTTAAAGTATATATTGATTTAAATTAATAATTGATGAGCCTAGAGCAGGCTGACGATTCAAGTAGGTTAGTTAAGCGTTATAAGGTTTAATTCGAACATTTAGCTTAATATAGACTATATCTCACACCGCCTTGTGACCTTGTGACCTTATGATGAGTTTAGGACTTCGTAGTCCACGGTCACGCTGATGCGCCGCTTTCGTCGTCCTCTGTCTCCGAGTCGTCGCTAGACAGGTCACCCCGCCCTCGGGTCCCGAATGTAACGTTGGACGTGTTCCGTATATTTGCCCTCCTTTGGGCCAGCTGATGCAAGATGCTGTTGCTTGTCACTTGCAGAGGGAAGTTTCCCATTACTGGACAATCCGGGATCTTTCTCAACCACTTGTCCAGTCGTCTCTTGAATGTTGCAAGAGAGAACTCCCCTCCTCTCAGCGCTTTTGGCAAGGCATTAAAGAGCCTCGGTCCTACCACGGACACTGATCCCTCACGAAGAGTCTGTACTCTGGCCGCGGCTCGGCTATTAAATGGGGCAACCCTGCACGTTCTACCCCTCCATTCATTGTAAAGTGTCACTATTCTGGAGGTCTCACTCTCAAAGTTGGGAGCCAGTCCGGTTATCATCTTCCAAGTGTACAGTATGATATTCCTTTCTCTTCTCCTCTCCAGTGAGTACAGCCCCAGGTGTTTCAGCCTTTCCCAGTAGTTCAGGTTCAGCTCCCACATGCCGCTGATCCTGTACGTGAAAGTCCGCTGCACTGCCCTCGCATCCACTTATAATTCTACATGTTTTCTTCATTTAAGATTTTCTTGTAAATAAATTAGTTTTTGTTAAGTTTTCTTTATGCAATTTTAGATGGCCGTTTAGTGCAGTTGTGCGTGTGTGACGGAACACAATTTTTGTGGATTATTTTTTTAGAACATTGTTTCGCTTCTATGTTAACTCAAGGATTAATATAGGTATGACTAAGTAATATGTAAACATATATTTATTCCATGACTGTAATATGGAATCTCGTCTAGCTATGATATTTTTAGGATTTAGTTGTTAGTGTCTTGGGACGAGACTGAATGTGTAGTTCCAACGTGATTGGTTGAGCTGCTCCTGGCCTCGCGACGGTGCGCGCTAGGTAGTCATGAACGATGGAGAGTTTGGTCACTTTGGAATTAGTTTAGGATTATTCGACTTTTAACTTTGATTAGTTTGCCAAATGATTAAAAATATGATGACTTTATTGTATTATATTATCAATTTTTTTCACCTAGAAAGTGTTTGCGGTCTGTTTTGTACATTGTAAACGGGATGTTGAGGTAAGCTCATTTTGGCTGAGTTACCCCTCGCGGAGAAGTTGTGTGTGCTCAGTGTTACTGGGTTGGGGTGACACGGTTTCGACTCGAAACAGGCAGAGCCAAATTCGGGCTTCCAAGAATAAACTCCACCTCAGTTCTGAGTATAACTCTTAATGAGTTCCACTAAAGGACTAATAACGTAGGTGGAGTTCTTAGATATATCCGGATTTTGGCTGCGTTGGGCGGTTGACAGCCGTTCCATTCGCACCCTCGTGTCGTAGAGGCTAATAACCTCTGCACTCGAGTGAATTGTCAGCGGCTTATTGGAGGCTCGTACCCTTCAATAGTCGTGCTTTTGAGGCGTAACTGCCACCCCGGTTCTGTGTTCTTGGCAGTGCATTAGGGCTCGAACCTCTGATCATTGCGTTGGTTGTCGGCATTGTGGTGCGGCTCGTATCCGTATCCTTGCTGCCACTCCTGTAAGATCGTCAGTTTTGTGGTGCGGTTTGTACCCGTATCTTTGCTGTCCACTCCTGTAAGGTTGTCAGTTTTATTGTGCGGCTCGTACCCGTATCCTTGCTGTCCGTTCTTGTGAGGTCGTCAGTTTTGTGGTGCGGCTCGTACCCGTATCCTTGCCGTCCACACCTGTAAGGTTGTCAATTTTGTGGTGCGGCTCGTACCCGTATCCTTGCTCTCCGTTCCTGTAAGGTCGTCAGTTTTGTGGTGCGACTCGTACCCGTATCCTTGCTGTCCACTCCTGTAAGGTCGTCAGTTTTTTGGTGCTGCTCGTACCCGTATCCTTGCTGTCCACTCCTGTAAGGTCGTAAATTTTGTGATGCGGCTCGTACCCGTATCCTTGCTGTCCGCCCCTGTAAGGTCATCAGTTTTGTGGTGCGGCTCGTACCCGTATCCTTGCTGTCCACTCCTGTGAGGTCGTCAGTTTCGTGGTGCGGCTCGTACCTGCATCCTTGCTGCCCGCTTTAGTGGTCCTCAGTAGTTTATTAGGATTCCTCGACGTTGTATCCCTGAGGCTGAAACCCTGTTTCCCGGAGCTTTTGGACCTAATAAATTGCGTGCCTTGTACAGTGAAATTGTGTATCGCCTGAAGATCACCAATATATACGAAAAGTTCCGCGTATTCATTCCTCCTCTCTCCAACGCAAGGGAATTTAGAGCCGGACCAAAGAGCGACTCTTTAGCCCTTGTGTCAAAACCAATACGCAAGACACCGTCAAGTCGGCATGCTACCCGTAACTATTTCGACTTCGCGGCGGTGTTTCCGGTTACACGTGTGTCTCACTGGTCGACAAATTGTCGGGGTGTAGGTTGGTCCCACAGTTGGACTGGGAGTTGATCCGGAAATTGGTCCGAGAGTTGGTCCGGGAATTGGTCCGGAAATTGGTCCGAGAGTTGGTCCGGGAATTGGTCCGGCAGTTGGTCCGGGAGTAGGTACGGGAGTTGGTCCGGCAGTTGTGCTTGGTCATGCTGCTCTGGCCAAGAGATCGTCGTGTCAATTGGTAAGTCATTCTGCTCCTAAAGAAGAGTTTTCACTATTCCCTATACTACACTAAGTTTTACTGAACCAATAAAACGAACGACATCGCCACAAAAACACGGGAAGAATAATTTCATGTTCAAATTTTAATAAAACATGAAAATTCAAATCGCCTTAGGACTTTTCCGCAAATTTAATCACCAATGTCTTAATAGAACGTGAAATGAGAGCTGTGTCGTTATTAATGATAATATAAGCGATTTTTTTCAATATCCAGAGGTTAAGAAAAGCATTGGGTTTATATTTTTCACGATATTTTTTGGATAAAATTCTTATTTATACGTATTATTCTCGGGACTTTGTAAAGTCTTTGTGGTAATATTGTAGATATCTAAGTTCCAAACGAGAGCTTTGAACAATTCAGGATTAACTATTACAATTTTTGAAGATTGCATTATATTATTTTTACTTTTCCCCTTTCGTGACTCAGTTTACTCGTTTCGCAACGAAGTTCGCTCGTTTCACGACACAGTTTACTCGCTTCGCTATACAGTTTACTCGTTTCGCGAAACAGTTTGCTCGTTTCGTGACACAGTTTGCTCGTTCACTGTTCGCTCGTTGATAGTTTGCTCGTTGACAGTTTGCTCGTTGACAGTTTACTTGTTGACAGTTTGCTCGTTTACAGTTTGCTCGGTGACAGCTTGCTCGTTGAGAGTTTGCTCGTTGACAGATTGCTCGTTGACAGTTTGCTCGTTGACAGTTTGCTCGTTGACAGTTTGCTCGTTGACAGTTCGCTCGTTGACAGTTTGCTCGTCGATTGATTGCTCGTTGACAGTTTGCTCGTTGACAGTTTTCTCGTTGACAGTTTGCTCGTTGACAGATTTCTCGTTGACATTTTGTTCGTTGACGGTTTGCTTGTTGTCAGTTGCTCGTTTCGTGACACAGTTCACTCTTCTTACGACACAGTTTACTCGTTTTGTGACACTGTTTGCTCGCCGAAAGTTTGCTCGTTGACAGTTTACTAGTTTCGTGTTTTGCTTGTGAATTTGCAAATCAAGTTCCTTCCTCACGTTTGTGCGTACGTGCAGTTTGCTTCTTTGCGAGGCTCGGTCACATTTACGCCACAAACATGCATTAAATTGAAATTTTATTTTAATTGTCTTTATTTATTTATTAATATAATTAATTGAATATCGAACATTAGGTAATAGTTACATTTTGCATTGGTTCACGCACGTCTTCCATCAGAAAAAATTTCAATTAGTTGCAATTATTATTGTCGAAATTTCAATCTATGATATATATCCACAATATATTATCGATATAAAGACTTAACCAACAGAAAAGATATTTATGCTGGACGTCAAAACATGTTAAAACTGACGGTTTCAAGTTACTAAAAAAATATATAACCAAATCAAGCTCTTTGCCTTAACTGTTATTGAACTTTACATTGATTGCATAGACTCTTTCCACATATAGGCTGCAAATTGTAAGGTTGTTGTGAGACATTAAGGTGCGCTTGCATGTACAATATTACAAGGCCTCATGTGAAAACATGTCAGGTCCACTAAAGTCAAGCCTGTGCCTATGCTTGGTTATTTGGTCAGGGTGGGCAAGTTGCGGTCCAAGCTCACCGACTCGTTCAGTCTCATCTGCCTGGTCACAGGATTGACCTCCGCACGAAAGGATATAAAAGCAATGTGTGCAGAAGCATCGACATCAGTCAGTATCTTGCCTCCTTCTCAGTCAGTCAACAGTGACAAGTAAACACGCCGTAGCCATGAAGTTCCTCGTCATTGGTGAGTGAAAGTTGATGCATTGTCTGCCTGGGGTATAGAGATGCGGCCGTGATATGGCGCGTCTCAATGATATTCGTACCTGGTCTAGGTGAGGAATGCCCGAATGATATTCGTACCTTGTCGTGTGAAGGAATGCCCTAATGATATTCAAACCTTGTCGTGTGAAGGAATATCCTAATGATATTCCTACCAATTGTCTCGTAAAGGAAGGCCTTAGTGATGTTCGTATCTTGTTTAGTGGAGAAATGCCCTAACGATATTCGTACCGGGTATAGTGGAGAAATTCCCAAATGATATTCGTACCTGGTCTAGGGGAGGACTGCCCTGAAGATATTCGTACCTGGTCTAGTGGAGAAATGCCCTGATGATATTCGTACCTGGTCTAGTGGAGAAATGCCCTAATGATATTCGTACCTGGTCTAGTGGAGAAATGTCCTAATGATATTCGTACCTGGTCTTGCGAAAATTACGGGGAGTTTGGTGAAGTGAATGGAAGCTCTCTGACAATGGCGCTCGTTGCATTGATGCGAATGCTTTGAATATTAATGAGTTGGATTACTGTAAGTTAATACAGGAAAATATAAAAATTTCGCTACTAGTTGAGGCTCAGTTTGTAATAGACTTCCACCGACTACTTATAGAATTAATAACGCTACAATTTTTATTTTTGAGCATTATAAATAGGTTCAATTTAAGTCTTCTCCTTTTCGTACATTAAATTTATTTTAATTAAATAATTGATAAATACTTTAACAACATTGTTTCTCTCCATTGTTTATTGTTTTAGATTTTATGAGGGTATGAGGTAAGATTTTAGTCAGGGTAGCCGAATGATTTTAAGATCACTTAGATTGAAGGAACGAATTGGGGGTTCGAAACCCGCCATGTAGTTTGCAAATTAAGGTTGAAATCGGATAGGTTGCCGGGTGGTTGAGAATCGGTGGCAGGCCAATAATCAGCCTCATCAATTACTTACATAATTATATTATTAAATTATTATTAAAATGAATATAAAAAGTTACGCCGATTACTCAAGATTTCATTTATTGTTGAAACAGCTTCAGCACGTGCGCTCGAGAGCAATACGTGTTCCATGCTCCAAAGAAAAAATAGTTCGCTATTGTTTAAATGAAATCTTTGTTTATTGTTCGTTATTGTGTATATGAAATTTTTGTTTATGGTTCGTTATTGTGTATATGAAATTTTTGTTTATTGTTCGTTATTGAGTATATGAAATTTTTGTTTATTGTTCGTTATTGTGTATATGAAATTTTTGTTTATTGTTCGTTATTGTGTATATGAAATTTTTGCTTATTGTTCGTTATTGTGTTTATGAAATTTTTGTTTATTGTTCGTTATCGTTTATATGAAATTTTTGCTTATTGTTCGTTATCGTTTGTATGAAATTTTTGTTTATTGTTCGTTATTTTTGATTGTTGCTAACGCATCGACGTATCCTGCAATCTTTCCGCAGTTTCGGTGGTGCTCGGAGTGGCGGCCGCTGCGGTGCCCCGCGTCCGCAGGGACTCCACCCCGGAATTGTACGAACTCCCCTCCAACGCTAGCGTCATCGTGGGAGGCATCACCCAGGGATTCGAGTGAGTCTTCCATATTGGTACAGATGTCCTTCCTTATGTCTGAAACAGTTGCATACGTTCCCGTTCCATAAGCGCGACCACGGAAACAAAGATTTTAGTTCCAGAAGTGCGGCAACAGAGACAAAGGATTCCATTCCATATGTTGGTCCGGGTCATGTTGTTCACAGACAACAATGTTGGTCACTGAAAATTATGTTGGTCACTGACAACAATGGCAAAGGTAGTTTTTACATCGAAAACATTGATAAATTCAGAAGAACATAACGGATGTTCTGGCTTGCCATGCATCACTGTATTTTTAGTCGTGTTATTCTGAGCCTAGGGTGTGTGATCTTGTTCGACATCTTCCGTAAGCTAGGGTATATTACATAACAATTGTATGTCTGGTGTTCGATGAAAAACTGGAATCGATAGGTCATGACTAACTATTCACGACATATGCCGTCTTGATAAGATGATTAAATTGCCGCTTTTTGATATTTGTTCAGATGTACTCCCAAATATTGTATGTTGTTCTCCATGTGCAGCGCGTAGCTGCCATGGAAATATTGGCCGAGTGTTCAACAACCTAAATTAGAATTTTTTTTCACGGATACTCAATAAGGGGCCTTCAATATTGAAGTCAATTATATCTAGTTTAGCATAATAGATGTCATTTAATGAACTCTAAAACCAAGAAGATACGGAGCCCTAGGTTGACGCGACGTTCCAACGCGCTTCAATGCGTTTTCTCCCGAAAAATGCGCGATTCTTTCGTCCGAGCATTTACGCAAACGAGTTTAGGTTTTCCAAAACTATAAATATGGAGCTCATGCAATTTCACGGCATTAGGTCAGCCAGCAACACCAATTTTGACACATTTACATGGTTTTGTTTCTATAGTACTGAAAAAGAAACAATTTTTGATTTGTTCTAATGGTTGAGAAAAATCAATCAATTTTTTTAAATACTTCGCCGCACGAGAATCATTGATGTACCTTTCCAAGAAATTTTTCATTTCAAGGAATGATGGACACTAATAGTGATTATTTTGCAGCTGCTCCGGCCGCAACTTCGGCTACTACGCAGACGACAAAAACAACTGCCAGATCTTCCACGTGTGCATGCCCTACGAGGACGCGGAGGGCGCCCCCCAACTGCGTATGTGGTCCTTCCTCTGCGGCGTCGGATCCGTCTTCGATCAGGTCTGTTGGGGCAGTTTATATATCGGTAAATTTTTACGTACAAGTCGTGCCTATTAGTTCATAGCATTTCACTTTCATGCATGGATGAATTTCACGTATGGATAAATGATCACACATAAAAATATATTTTTCCTCTACAGGCGACTCTGACCTGCAACTACCCCGAGTCTGCCCTGCCGTGCGCTGAGGCCCAGAGCTACTACAAGATCAACGACTACTTCCACCTCGAGGAGGAAGAGTTCCGCAGCGGCTTCAACGGAATCTTCAAGAAGAAGTAGACTTCTAAATGATCTAAATCAACTTAGACTTCCAAGACTACGAGCTGTGCAAGATACTGAAACGAACCCGAATTTAACGATTGAATTTTTCGACCCGAATCTAAAAGTTGCTTAGTTTAGTAAGCAATGAGTAAGATGCTCTCTCAACGATCGTAAATATTATTTACGAGTCTGTGATATGCTATGTAATAAATTGTCATAACTTTTATCTGTATTATAATTCATCAAATTTCCTTTCGATCTTACCTTTTATTTCGCACTTTCTTCACGTTCCTTACCTAGGAATTTCATTATACTCATCTTCGTGATCACTCTATTCGTAATCTGTTTTATTACTGTTTTAAATGTGCCATTGTAAAATGTGTAAATAAATTTCTTGGAGCAATCGAATTAACTTGTCTTTTAATAAACTTGAGGATATCATCGGTGATTTTTCATAAGAAATGGCCTCGTTACATAAATTTACGTAAATTTTCTTGGACAATTTTGGAAGTTATTGCGAGTGAATTGGAAGACCATGGGATGATAAATATTCCTAAAGTAATTATTAAGGAGTAATAATTAATATTATTAATATTAATTATTACTAATATATGATATTAAATTACAAACTATTGCCTTGGAATATGGTCGGTCACAACAGTAGATCAGGCTGGTAGCGAGAATGCATCGTTTCATAAACATTGTGAACGAAAGAGTTGCTGATTTGTACACGAATGTTTCGAATTATTAAATTCATTCTTGGTGCTGGTAAAACTAGTATTCATCACCGGTTATAGTTTTGTGCGTCATTCATTGCCTTGGCAATAATCCTCATGAGAAGCGCTGTAAGCGCATTTTTCAAAAACGAAAGTTACCTTTATATCTCAGCTTCAACGTTATTCAGCAATAAATAATGTTGAAATTCTTACTTGTAAATTTGTAGGGCGATTTGACTGAAGTGAAAATTGTTTTTTCAACACAAATGAACTTTTAGGATTGGAAATCTTTCAGCGAGACCTAACAACTATTACGTTTATTGAAATTTAACTCGGAATATATGGGCTCGGAATTTCTTAGGCGAGTTGGTCTAACACAAGATGGACTCGACCAAACAATGAATGTGATCGTGAAAATGACTACAGTCAAAAAGATGGGCCGGGTTTGTGTTCATTATTCTTTATCAATGTTGAGCAACTTCGAGTCCAATGGAGATCAAATGCTTAATTCATCCCATATATGAATATATAAGTGAATTTAGATGAACGAAGACGCTGACAGAACATTACGTCCTGCATGAATCGCGTGTATGTTATTGGACGGAATGGAGTTTACGGTCGGCTGCTGATTTAATTAATAACTTGAGTTATGAAAGTTATTGGAAGTTAGAGACTTAGAGTGAAGGGGTTGAGAAGGCTGCAGGAATTTGGGCTGAACTGTGTAAAGATTGTATAAGGTGCGATTGTTCTCGAGACCGTGAGACCGTACGGGTTTGTTATAGTTTGGAATGGCAAAAGTATCAAAGGGCTGACCCTTGTGGAACTCGAAACTGTCGCGGCATCCCGTGGTAGACTCATGTGTACGCGAAGTCCTGCTATATGAGCGCCCTAAATCGTGTCATTTGACCAGATATTTTCATGACTGACGATAGTTTCAAGTAGCTACTAGACTTCCACCGGGTTCGATATGGTGCTAGGCATTTCAAGTCTGAACATATATTTTTCTATAGCTTTTTGCTATGGAAAATTGTGCACCCTAAAATGGGCGCCGACAGTGAGGCCGGCGGTTTATCCATTTTCGAACTTTGGCTATCGCGAGAAACCTAGACTCACCGAGGACGCTACGATTCCTGTAAGCACGCCAAAAATATACAAGGAACTACCACGACTTCGACATAGTAATGTACGGTCAACATCAACACTCTGGCTACGACTCAGCCGTGAGACAACGCGAGAAGCTACGAGATATCTAACGACTATAACGCCGGTAATCAGAAGATTCAAGTTTAAAGCACTGCGCAAGAATTATATCATCGGTACGGTCATCAACACGGTACGGTCCCAGTCACCGTCAGTATTGGTACGGCCACGATCACCAACCGCAATGAGCTCGGAGTAACATCATCGATGATGAAGACTACGCCACTATTCAGAAGTACGGTCGTTGTAAAACAACCTACGGCCAGATTGACCGTGAGACGAAACGCGAACGGTCATCAGCGAAACGCGACGGTTACGAAGAAGAGCGACCGCGGGGACGCGCGGCTACAGCTGCGGTACGGCCACTGGGAATACGGCTGCAAATGTGCGAGTGAGGAACGGCCGTTGCGGGAGTCGTAGCATTCTACGGGAGCGCTCTACGGATCAACGTTTACTGGCAAAAGTAGAAGATTTTAGTGGTGTTAACTGATAGGTTCTAAATTTTGATTGTGTTCGAAGATTGTGTGATCCTATTTCATGTACTAGAGATTTTTGTCAACGTAGGATGTGTACGTGAATTTCTCAATTTAATATTAAATGTACCAGTGTTTCATTACATTCCTCTCTCTGTATTTATTTTTTTTGCCATAACTTATTCATACGAGAACTAACATAGGTGCCTAAAGTAAGCCACTTCGGCAACCAAGCTGACAAACGACGAATAATAATATCTGGAACCATAACGTAACGTAAAACTGAAAGCGCAAGAACTTCGATCGATCGACGTTAAGGAAAATAAAAGTTATATATATTCTTAAATAACTTTATTCTATTCACTCGAACCCATCGTAGTCAATAGATAGATAATCGATTTCCTGTCAGACTGCAATACCGTCCAGCTTCCATGGATTAAAGTTATCCCTTCATACCAAAACGTGGTTATCAACAATTGCTCCATCACCTTAGCAGCAGCACGTCTCAACAGGCTGAACAGCAGTCTGTTGAATCGAGTCTTTTTTAATGTGACCTGCACTCTTTTTGTAGAGCAGCCCGGGATATATCCTTTTCGGTGTGTCCACGCCCAGTGGACTTGAAGCCTTAGGTCAGCAATTTGGTTAAACGTGAATTCTGGTAGATGTTGAGGTTTATTTTATAACGTTTGTTGTGGGACTTTTAACTACTGTCGATTTCCTCCTATAGCTACCAATATTCATCGATGCTCCACTAATAATTTTTATTTGGGTATTGACGTTACATGGACGCACTGACGTCTTGGATGCTCCTCATAAATAGAGGCCTCATTTACATGTGCACACTTCAACGTAAATATTATTTGAATTGGTTTAGGCAGTTGTGTCGACCATCTAATGAGAAAATACATTTTTTCTCGCCGACGTCTTCGTTACAGTAACAATTCCGTAAGCCAACTCGATCTCCTCAGTCTCGTCTGACGTTATATGGCACAAGTTTTTGATACGTTACCCGGTAACGCAGTCGGGATGATCTGAGACCTTGGTAACGGATCCTGTTTCAGTCACGTGCAGCTACAGAAACTTGTGCAATAAGTTTGATGAACCTTGAACAAAAATACCAAATTACTCGGTCCAAGTGCAGCAGTCTTGGGAGATTCTCTGCTTGGCTAGACCTCTAGTCAAGGCCGGTCAGATCCTAAATCCCGACAAGTCGACCTGTCATACGGCCTGTGAAGGACATGACTTAACCCCTCATCGCCAAGGACTGTCACCGCCATTATGCGGGAAATGCTTGCATGTCCAGCTCATCCAAGCTTTTGAGTTACTTCATATCCAAAAAACGAGGTCGGACAAAACCCGTAGTCTGTTTTATTCACTTTCGTGGTCGCGACGCTTCAGCCTTGGGCCGAGGTTGAGGGGGGGGGGACGACGACGATCCCGGATATTGGATTTTGGCCCGTATTGGCCATCAAGTGTTTTAAAAAATTTTTACATTGTATCCTAAATTATATTGTAGATGTTTTTTAATAGATATGTTGACAAGTCAGAATGTGAAAAGGAATTCTACGTAGGCACCGTTGTTTATAATTTCTATCCCTATGGATTGCCATCGTACACGATCAAACATGTTCTTCCCAAAAATTTTTTAGACATTTTGCGTTCATCATCTTGTTTGAAAAAACTCCAACTTTTAAGGACGCGACAAAACTTTTTCATCCAGTGCGGACATGTGTCAGCTTACTGGCATTAAAATTAACTTGGAGCCCCCAAGGGAACAGCTAATACTGTCCAATACAAAACCATTTCTTTCATTGAAGTCGTTGAGTGTCAGTAATTATACTACCTACTGCAATCAATGCATTACGTGACTGTTTGAACAGCTCGAGTAGCATTTTCCACCCTGATGTAATAAAGCCTTCGATAATTGCAAAACATTGAACAAATCCCTTTACCGTTTACCTTTCTAAACAATAATGAAATTCTTAGATTACGAAGTAACTGAACGGAAAACATCCGGGTTACTAATGACCTTCAAATTCGTTTTACGGTTAAGTGACATTTTGAGGGAATAACTTTGTACTTCAAGCAGCAAACAACACATACGAACAAAGCATGTTTTCGGTAGACGCATGACTCGACATTCACGGAGTGGCCTGAGTATTCTTATCTTCACGTTAATCCTCCCACGACGCATCCTACAGGATATGCTCTTGTCAATTTGAGACTCAGAGGTTCGGTGAACCTCATATTAAAATTAGATCTGGGTGACTATGAGGTCACCCAGATTATCAATAGATTTCATTCGGAGCTAAAATTGAATAATCTCGTTTCCATTTTCTTCAATATATGGGGGACCTCATATTAAAATTAGATCTGGGGGACCTCACATTCGGAGGGACCTCATATTACAAACAAATCTGGGATACCTCATATTCGGGGGAACCTCATATTAAAATTAGATCTGGGGGGACCTCATATTCGGGGGGACCTCATATTGCAATTATATCTAGGGGGACCTCATATTCGGGGGGACCTCATATTCGGGGGAACCTCATATTCGGGGGGACCTCATATTACAATTATATCTAGGGGGACCTAATATTCGGGGGAACCTCATGTTCGGGGGGACCTCATATTCGGGGGAACCTCATATTCGGGGGGACCTCATATTACAATTATATCTAGGGGGACCTAATATTCGGGGGAACCTCATATTCGGGGGAACCTCATATTAAAATTAGATCTGGGGGGACTTCAGATTCGGGGGGACTTCATATTCGGTTGGACCTCATATAACAATCAGATCTGACATTCTAGTTAAAGTTCCAACATAATGTGAGGTAGGGTCTCGAGGACGCTAATAACAATCACTGCAATTAATGAACTAAATTCTTTCATGAACGGTTCTTCTTGAAATGTAATATTTCTGCACTGTCGCGTAAAATCTCTACTTGCTTGTCATAAACTTTGGGTTCTGTCATTAAATGATATTGAAAAAGTCCATGAAAACATTTTTTGCGGCTGGGCAAGATTTTTACAGCCATTATTTCAGATGTTGATTAAAAATAGTATTTCACGGTACCCGATTGTCACAAGTTTCGTAACGATGACCTCTTGGTCATTATAAGCGAGGATTTTAACTGCCAAGAAAGCCAATTCTAATATTACTAATAATACTAATATTTCTTCTAAGCGATTAGGAGCAATTCAGGTTTAGGCAATAAGTAATTCACAGCACAATAAAACTCATATACTTATTTAAAACTATAATCAATACAGGGAGAAATTTTACAACTAGTTCTATATGGTAACGTAGAAGTAGATTTGATTCGGAGCTACAATAGAAAAATTTCTATACCATTCCCTTCAATGTCCACAATAATCAAATAACTATGCCAGCCATACTGATGTTGATTCTTTTATATATCGGAAAATTCACTCAAGTAGTCGAAATGTTTCCAGCTGTTGGTAAATTTAGAAAACTTTGATCATTCGCTCGGCTATACGATCTCGAGAGCCGCAGCTGTGAGGCCACCTAGGGTAACAATTTTAACCTGTGCAAGCCGTTCACCCTGAACAAGAGAGAAGCTGTGCATAATGAACAGCATTAAAAGCTGTGTACCCTGAACAAGAGAGAATAATGAACAGCATTAAAGTTGTGTACCCTGAACAAGAGAGAATAATGCACATCATTAAAGCATATTGAACAGCATTAAAGCTGTGTACACTGAACAAGAGAAAATAATGAACAGCATTAAAGTTGTGTACCCTGAACAAGAGAGAATAATGAACAGCATTAAAGCACAATAAACAGCATTAAAGCTGTGTACCCTGAACAGGGGCAGAGATGTGCAACTTGATCAGGGATGTAGCCTTGCACCCTGAACAAGATTAGAGCTGTTCAACCTGAACAGGATAAGATCACCATACCCTGAACAATGTAGGAGTGGTATACCCTGAGCAGGATAGAAGCAGCACTCCCAGAACAGGATTAGAACAAGTGACCTCTTAAGCTGTCAGGTCGCCTGACTCGTCTTCAGTCGTGACCTCCAAAGCGCGCCAATAAAAGCCGATGTCGCGGAAGCCCAAAACACAGTCAGCCTCCAGCCTCCCTGTGTGCTAGCCAACAGTGAAACATTCCTATAACATGAAGTTCCTCGTAATTGGTGAGTCCAGTGAACGGTAACTTAATCAAATACTTTGCAGCTAACATTAAAATTAAAAAGTAACTTTCAAAGTCAGTTGTCCTGTCGGTATTAACAGTAAAATGGACTTTACATACGTGGTTATGGCGAGTTTTAATTATTTTTAAATGTATAAAATTTACTGCAACTAGATTAAAAACCAAAATTTATTCTATTAAGAATATTAGTGGTCGATTTCCTATCAATCGAAGAAAGCGAAAAACATTGTCCGGCTCATTGCCGATCGATTAACGAAATTATTTGTAATTAAATTTGTTGTAAAGAGAATGCTTTGTGTAAGCGAGATATTGCATTTTACAGACAATAAAACTGTCAAAATCTATAAAAATATTACATTAAAGTCGAATAAAAATACATGAAGTGAAAATACTCACGCACAGTTAGCGGGACTTGCATGATATTTCATGCCTCTTGATTGCTTGCTTCTTTTTTAACATCAAATGTTTTATGTTCATTTAATATTCTAATACAAAATGTAAGGACATCTGACATCAAGCTCGTAAGCCTATAGAGTTTTCATGACGATCGAATTCTTGAAAGCTAATCGGGATTAGTTTATTACCTAATTAGTAATAATATTTTATTACCTAATTAGTATAATAGTTTATTGTCTAATTAGAATAAATAGTTTATTGCTTGATTAAAATACTGTGACAGTTTAATCTTCCAGAGTGCGCGTGAAGATTTTTTCAGCCATCTTACTAAAATTCACGTACAAAATTTTAACAAAAAATTGCATTTACATAAGTCATTGGATTAGACATGATCTAGATGAAAATTCATCTAATAAAGATAAATCCAAATCATCTAGTCTAATAAAGATAAATCTAAATCATCTAATAAGGAAAGAGCTTCGTTGTTGACAGCATTCACGCACTCTGCTATCTCACGTTGCCTTCAGGGTTGCACAAGTTACGGCCAACGCCACACTGTTAGAAAAATTACCGTTAACGGTATTACCAGCGTTACAGTGGCCGGTCGGCACGTGAAAAGAAACACCGTATCACCGTTTTTATTCTAATTTAACACTAGAAATCCGTAAAACAACTGATAAAAACGGCGAAACAGTTTATGTTCACGTGGCGACCGGCCACTAGAATGCCGGTGGGACCGTTTTTTCACAGTTTTTTCTAACAGTGCACAATCAACAAAACTTGTTTACATTTCCGTTGAGGAAAATAAAACATAAGCCGTACAAATAAAATGACAACCTCAACCATTGCACTGTGCCGTTGTAGAAGATACTTATGCAATGTATTGACAGAGCGCAGTTCAAGGAATTATCGCAGTTTTGTTTATTTCCATTCTGACTTAAATGGACATATTGGAAAACCTTATTCGCCGTAAAATATCGTGAATGATCAATTCAACAGCAATAGAACAGACTATAAAAACTGAGTTTCTTGGCAAAATGTAGAAAAAAGCATTCGGTTCAACACACCGAACTCTGATTTCAAGCTAAGCGATGAGAAACTGTTGAATTATGAATCCAATTTTAATTCAAAACAATAGTTCGCAAAACAATAGTTCGCATAAACTCACTTTTAAAATTCACTTTCACCATACGCTTTTACGTAATTTACATACACAACGTCATTTCTTCCGAATAATTGGTTCGGGAACACTAAACTAAAGTCATATTTTGTAAAGCTCTCGCTGAACAACTTGCCTTCGTGCCGCAGTTTCGGTGGTGCTCGGAGTGGCGTTCGCTGCGGTGCCCCGCGTCCGCAGGGACTCCACCCCCGACGACTTCGAACTCCCCTCCAACGCTACGGTCATCGTCGGCCGCATCAACCACGGCTTCGAGTGAGCGATCGGGTGTAGTAACGCTTGTATTTGTGAATTAATGAAGTCTATTTCTCCTCGCGTGTTAGGCAGCACTGTTTCAGTTTATGTGTAATAAATTATCTGAAGGTTTCCAGTTTGGCATCATTAACGGGAACAAGGCTGATTTTCTTGGCATAGAATACGTGATGCATGAGACAGACTTTTTAAAAGCGTGCTGTGGCCACTGACTAAGTACTTTGCATAATCAAATTAATTATCATTATTATTATATAAAAGTATATTATATATTTTTATATAAAACAATTATTTCACGTAATTATTTAATTCCGGGTGCTGAATCGTTAAACACCACACGAACTTATGAACAATACTAAAATTTCACCGCGGAATGATATATTAAACCCTCCAAACTATCATCCACAGAACACCGACTTATCTTACTTTTATTCGTACAGCTGCTCCGGCCGTAAATTCGGCTACTACGCTGACGATCAGAACAACTGCCAGATCTTCCACGTGTGCATGCCCTACGAGGACTCAGAGGGCGCCCCCCAGCTGCGTATGTGGTCCTTCCTCTGCGGCGTCGGATCCGTCTTCGATCAGGTCTGCTTTGAGCCAAAAAATACTTTTCTTTTGTGCGATTTGATATAGTGGTTTAAATTTAATATCCCAATAGCTTTGTTCACTGCAAAATTAGTTGAGTTGTCATTGCGTTAAACTAACAATTGGTATTTGTTTCAGGCCACCTTGACCTGCAACTACCCTGAGTCTGCTCTGCCTTGCAACGAAGCCAAAAGCTACTATGGCATCAACGACTACTTCCACCTCGAGGAGGAAGAATTCCTTAGCGGACTTTTCGGAAAATTCAGAAAGTAGACGGATATCTTAATTCAAAGTTTCTAGATAACACCGATACCGCGACATACAATACCCGGACATGTATAACCGGGACTTGGAAAGCCGGGACTCGGGAGTGCTGAAACGAAATCGATTCGAACGAACTTATCTCACGAACGCTTCTGATAATGCGTATAATACTGAGGTCAGGTACATGGATGCTGACCAAAGGCTTATATGTACAGTACAATACTAAAACATCAACCGAGACCCTTTAATCGGGATATTCTTGTTCATAAATCACAGGATGTTTCTTTATACATAGTGCCCTTTTTCTGTTCACTAAATCAATGTAAATTTCTCTTTCCCTGTATAAGCCTTATTTTCATTAAAACTTAATCGGTAAAGTTTTTTATAATCTTACTCCGAGGTGCTATTGTAACATTTGTAAATAAAATTTTCTACGCAACCCAATCATGTTTTTTTTGTTTATCCTCTTTTCTTAGAAACTTACGCACAGGTATTTTCATTTAAATTTTTATGCAATAATGCAAACCTTAATTTATTGTGAATTGCAATAATTTAGCAAAACAAACCTTAACTGACAATGAAATAATAGAATGATCGGGATCAAGTGATGCACAAAGTGTATAAATACAATAATAGTCGTAAATATTGAACTGTATTTATAGATATTTGAAACATTGGACCCCTAAGAATTTAAGTTTGAAGTTGAAACAAAACGTATCTGTGAGTCTTTTACTTATTAAAAATTTATTAATTAGCGAAACCCAACACCAATTAATTTTGCGACACATTTCTGTTACACATACTCGAATGAATTTATCTCTCTTAAAACTTATGTAAAAGATTCATCTAAAATCACGAGAAATGGGCAAAACGAATACTTAACTCCAAACATAATCATCAAGAATTTTTTGCTCTCTCATTCTCAATCTACGAACTTAGATTATTACACCGAACTATTGAAGAAAATATTGAAAAGGGAACATGACATCACAACTTACAGACGCTCAAGTACTCGGAAATAAATTGCCTACATGTGCAACCGGGAAAACATCAGTGATATTGAAATAGTTAAGGAAACGTGCCGACTTCACAGAAGACGTTCGTATCGACTATAAAGGGGCTGAAGAGGCTAAAGAGTCACACTTGGTCTAGCGCTAAAGTCCCTTGCACTGAGAGGGGAAGCAAATGAATACAAGGCGGATTTTCGTAATATGCTGATGACTTTCAAGTAGTCTACAAGAGTCTTCATACCAGGGCAGACAAATCCTTCAATCGAGGTAGATACATGTATTATCCTTCATTGATAATCCATAAGCTCCAGAAGTCCGAGTCATAACCTCAGGGGTATTAGTCTCAACAAGACACAGAGTAGCCAGTGACGAGGGCTCGAGCAACTCCAAAACGCCTAAAGTCTTTCACGGTTACCGAGGGTACGAGCCTCACAAAGGCGCCAAAAACCAGTCACGACCATAGAAGGTAGAAGCCTCTCTATATCGTTGAGAAAAGTGAATGATGCGGATACGAGCCACAAAAATGCGGCGAGAAATGAACTCGAATGTAGATGGTTCTAGGCTCCACGACACGAGAAATGCAATTGGTGCGGGTACAAGCTGCACCGAATCGCTGCCAGCATCTGGGTCTAGAGAATAACATCATAAGCAATAAACAATGCTAGTAGATAGTAAAAGGGGTGTATCGTCACAATTTGCATAAAAAGCTTAACAGGGTAGGTACCGATCAATTACTCCGAATATTACCCATCAAAATTGACCAATTACCCCCGAATAAATCTGGTCATTTGCTCACCATTTTATTTCGAATCTTGACCATCAAAAATTTGAGCACTGTCTTCCGATCAAAAACCTGACAATTTAACCACAATCTTGACCATCAAAATCATGAGTTAACGACCATGTACCCCGATTGGCCGAGCACTCTTTAACCAAGAATTTAGGGCTTAACCTAGAGCGGTTGCCTGAAAAATGCTTATTTGGAATATATAATTAATTTAAATTTTTAAACTTCCAGAACCGAGGTGATCATCTTTATTGATCAGCACAAAACTATAATGTACTATATACATTTCATTACACAGTTCTTGAAACTCTGCACAGGGCATATCACAAGCAATGTAACCACAATGAATATTCTTCATATCGATGAAAGGTAACTCGAATAGAATTAATAAATTTAAATTCGGTCTAATGGTTTGTATTGGTAATATGTGATAGTTTTGGGATAAGTAAATTGAATTACAGTTATTATGTCTTCCACTGGTGTAAAAACTATCAGCAGGATTTTGATTCTTTTCAGTTTTTTTGAGTTTTTCACTCTATATTTTCGAATATTTTTAATGGGTTCATCACACTTGATTAGATGAAATGACTTTTCTAAGCCAAACCGTAAATACCAAAATTATAAATGCATTTGGTGAATTTATAAACTTAGTTTACTATTTATCTTTTCCAAAAATCACAGTAGAGTTCAATAGCGAACGCTGATTCCAATATTCTAAACTTTTGCAAGTCGTTCAGAGAACTCATCCTGCTTTCTCACTACTTCTGCTATTTTATTCATGATGTCATCTGCCCGTGTTTCAACACCATCAATATAAGTCTTTTTCAACTTGAAGAATTCCTGCTAATGAAGATACTTTTTCATTGAGGGATTTCAAATTGTTCATTTGTTTTCGCGATTTTAATTTTAATTCGGTCATTTCCTCTGTTAATTTTACACCAAGATTCTCCAATTCTGTTCTTGCTTCGATCATTTCTTGAGTTACTTTTTTGTCAAGATCTGTCATTTCCTGAGTTACTTTTTTGTCAAGATCTGTCATTTCCTGAGTTACTTTTCCACCAAGAGTTTCCAGTATTGATTTTACTGCAGGTAATTCTTTCTCGAGAAAGTTGATATGCACCATGCATGACACCCTTCCTCAGTACATCTATTTTTTATCGGTCATTTCTGAATCCTTTTCATGAACATCTGAGACTTTTACGACCTCCTCATCAACATAACTCTGACAAGCGGCATCATTATCCTCAATTGGATAAGAGATATTTGCAAGTCTCCGATTATTCAGATCAAATTTTTTATCAGCGTCAAGGTACTGAAAGCCAATACCTGGAGGACCTCTTAGATGTGATATAGAAGTACCATTATATCCTATTCCAAATATATTAACACCGGCCACTTTAATATAGTAAAACTTCTAAAGCCGACCGACTTTACCGAACTCGTGAGGCTACAAGATTATTTATACGATCAGTTAATATTTTGTTCAGTTCAATGTTTTTATCAATTTCATTTTGTAGTATCAAGTTAAATTGATTAATTTCATTCTGATTTGATATAATATCTCTAGAAAACTCATAAAATATGTTTTTATATCCTTCATATCATTAATAATATCTTCCATTTTTGTCTGCGAAACTGACCCCGCTTGTAACTTCATGACTTGTTCTGTTATGTTATTAAATTTTACGTCATTAATAGAAGTTAAATTTGACTCCAAGCTTTTGAATTTCTGGATCAACTTCAGTAAAAGATAATTTTCCGTCAATTTGTAACTCGATGTTATGGATCCGCAATTCTGAAGTTTTAAGCTTTTCATTTACTTAATCTTCAAACGCCAAATGTCTCTATGGATCTCCTCATCAGCTTTAATAATCAGTTTCAAAATTTCTTCAATTTGCAATTCCGAATTCTTAGTTTTATCACCGAGCGTTACCTGCAAACTATTTAATTTCTCCTCATATTGTTTCACTGGGTTATTCTCAATACCCATTCTATATTTTTTACTTTGTCATCGAGCGCTAACTGCAAACTGGATATTTTCTCATCAATTTGCTTAATTAGTTTTTCTTCAATATGCAATTCCAAATTCTTGACTTTGTCATCGAGCGCTAAATTCAAACTGATTATTTTCTCGTCAATTTGCTTGATTAGTTTTTCTTCAACAAGCAACTCCAAATTCACGACTTTGCCATCGAAAGCTGACGGCAAACTGTCAATTTTCTCATCAAATTGCAAGTGGCAGGGTGGCCTAGTGGTTAAAGTTCAGAGTACCAAGATTGGCGCAGAGAGGCGCGGGTTCGATCCCAGCTCTGTGCGACAGTTTCTGTTCAGAATCGGCAAGGAGGCCGGGCGGTTAAGCACAGCAGAATTGTAGCAGTGGGTTGCGAGTTCGAAACCGCAAAATGCTGTGAATGTTCTGCGATGTGAAGAATCGGCGACAGGCCTACTGCCTAATAAACGCTGCAACCGCTATTATTATTATTATTATTATTATTATTATTATTATTATTATTATTATTATTATTAAATTGTTTAATTAGATTTCTTCAAAAGAATCGATTTTGAACTCCTAAATTTTATATTTATCTCCAAGTGCAGACTCTAAAAATTTCAAACCTAAATTAGCATTAGAAAATTACCATCTACCATCGTAAGTCTTCTCTCAGGGTTGTAATAATTGAATTGAAGGTGGAATGTTCATTTCGAATAGTTTCGATCAAAGTTTTTAGAGACTCTATGGGGAATACTTCAATTGGTTACGTTTTAAACTCGTTAGGGCATGCCAAACCATAACTATCAAAGTAATAACAACTATCATTTTCCTTATACCGACAAGTCCAATGCGTTCCGGTTCGCTCTTTCACATCCAGATTCAAAATTCCCCGCTCCGAGGGAGACACCTAGGCAGTGTATCCCTCATGAAAATATCTCTGACTGCAGGAACTTTCAATACTCTCAAATAATTTTGCAAATCATGTTGTGTTAATGATTTAATGGGTATTATATCCTTGGTGGATTTAAGTAGAGACCTCCCCCGCAAGATTTTTTTGGGGTTAAGATTTTTTTTTCTCTGGGATCAATCTAAAACCAGATCGCTTTATAGCTTCCATTGCTTCATCATGTCGTTTCGTTTCTGCTATAAGTTTATCATCAGCTTTCTTCTTATTGACAACAGTAGTTATGGCAGAAGCGCCTCATGCCAGAGACCCAGCAGCGCCTAGAGCTCCTAGGATAGCAGGAATTGAAAAGATGAAACCTCCTTCTTATGCTGATACAAAAGAAGTTTTAGTTTTCTTACATATGAAGTAACGTCCGCTTTTTAAGATTTTATTATTTTTCGTCATAACATACTGAGCATGCTCAGTATCACTAATTTTATGACATATTACCCAATGCATCATTTTAATAAGATATACTTCCGAAAACTTTTGAAATTTTTAGTAATTATTATTCATTTTTTCACCATCAGATTTTAATTGAGTTGTTCTGTCTGAAAGAATCAGAGCATAAGCATGTGTATTATAAGGAATGTTAATATTGAATTCAGCTTTAATTTTCATATCAATAAGACTGTCCTTTTAAGACGCTCATTTTGCCGACTGATATCAAATACGAAAATCGTATGTAAAAACCTATAATCTTTGTAT